ATCGATAATGATGACTAGATAAAACTGCCTCTCAGCATTAGTAAAAAAGGCCATACACAATGGGATCTTGAACACTTAGCATCTCAATACTACTACAGCACAGTACAATAACATAAATAAAATTACCTTACTCAGATAGGCAGACCATTGTTTCAAGTGGAAGCAGAGGCATATTATGTCAGTTGGTTTAAACAGGTTTCCAAACAGTAATAAGAGAAAAAAATGAATTAAAATTAAATCATAATATAAATGCATATATGGACTGCAGTAAGTTCAATAGACTCACTGTTCTTTGAAAAACTACTCCATTTTAATGACTTCTAATCTTAACACCTATAAACTCCAATTACTAAAACTAATTACACTATAGTTGTCTATTTGTAATAATAGGTGGGGTTTTTTCCTTGCAGCACCATACAACTACACAGCCAAGTATCACCTTCAAAATTAATTATGTCTAGACATCATTAAGTAGTTACAGGTTGGCACATTATTGCTAATGCAAATTTGTTGCTGGTAGAGTATTAGATCTAACTTTGAATCAAAGTCTGTCCATACGTTTTTTAATGCAATAGACTTGTAGTATCAGCTGCACAGTAAAAATGTTTCTGTGAGACAGAGCCACTGGAACATAACCATTACTAAAAAGTTAATCACTCTGGGGCATAGTTTGTATTTTCTTCATCTGTACCAAAATATTTCATCTACTTCAAGTAGCTTTCATGTTACAAGAATGTCAAAATAGCATAAAGCTTGCAAACTGATTCTACAGTCATAAAATTAAACCTGTCTGGACTTTTTTTAAGATTAAAAAAAATGCGATTGTCCTGCGGTGACCTCCCATGCAGATGGAGAACACAGACTACCAACGTAAAAACATTAGAGCATTATATATCACAGAGCAGTCTAAATACCTTGCTACCAAGAATTTAGGGAAGATTGTTTTAAAAACTGCCTCCATGTTAGAATGTGCAAAAGGGTGCTTTCAAAGGATAGTCAAGAACACTTTAAAATCCTAATTAATACTCATTCATATCACGCAGTCCAAATTAAATTATTCAGATTGAAACATCTATTATAACTGTTTAGAAACACATAAATTCTCTGTAAAAACAATTCAAAGGTAAATATGTTCATTTGGAAGAGTAACACTTTATTTTTAAAAGAGTACAGTTATTTTTCTGAATTTGCCCAAAAGCATTCCTTGTTTTCTTTCCAAGAATATTCATCCTCATAAATCTCCTGCAAATATAAACAAAGAATGGGCAATATTGTGAGACTCTGCTACATACAGCCACAAGCCAGGCCAAGTAACTCAACAGCCATCCCGCAATTATTTACTGATCACAACAGGACTACACAGCACTTAGCTGGCAAGCAGAAAAGAGGGCAGCACCCTTAGAATATACTAACTAAGCTGAACCTTGGGCTGATACTCATTAAATTTAAAAGGGCCCATCTATACTGAAGTTCAACAAAGAAATCTAGAAGATATGATGTAAAAGCTGTAGAATACACAGCACTCATGTGGTACCTACTGTATCATCATTTTAAGAAGAATATTTACGTGTAACAGAATGTCAATATTAAAAAAATATATTACATCAATACACCAACTACAGTAGTATTGGATCTGATGGACAGACTGGACTACCCAGCAGCAGTCCAATCCTATACAGAAAATTCATCAGGGCTCTGAGATTACACCCTGATTACTTGTCTCCTGAAAGAGGTGTCAGAAAAGTAGAGTATTTGAGAGAACATCACTGTTAACCACATGGCAAGTTCTGCCTGGGAGAGAAGGCAGAGGTAATGCTCATTACTTGCATGCAACACTGTGGTTATACAATGAATCTCTTTCTGGACCTGGGCTAATTTCTCCACACAGTGTTGTGTGCCCATACCAACTCTGGGACCTCTGTTCATCCCTTCACTGTGTGCTATTGCTTGATGCTTTGTGCTTTCTCAAGGCCACAGGGATGAGGGGAAAAAAGAGAGACAAGACATGCTCCTTTTACTTGTGAACTGCAAAGCTGATTCAAAGTTCTTCCACAATACTGTGAAGAACTGAGTTTTTCAAAAAAGGAGAACTCGGGCCTCTTTCGCTTTGACCCCAGGCTGGCTTTAAAGGAAAAGGAGCTGGATGGTAGAGGTACAGGACAGCCTTTCAGATGTTCTACCTGCCATATATGGGCTTGGCTGCATTAGAGGAACCTCACTGCTGGCAGACACTGACAAGCCACCAGGAGCAACTACCCCCTGTAGCGCTTCTTAGATAGGCCAGATGTCTAAGACTAGCATAGGTCTAAATTCAATTTTGACCCCAAACATACCTTTTTCCATATTGGTACAGATGCTTTTAGGGTATTGATGCAGTACATTACAGCTTCAAGGGATTCTGCTCTGTGTGGAGAGGAGACTGCAATAATTACGCTTGCTTCAGTTATTGGAACCACACTAGCGAGAGAAGAGGAACAACAGCAGTTTTAGCTAACACTTAACATCAAGAGCACCCAAAAGTTGTGGCCATGTCACGTCAGTGTTCTGGCCACATGCTCTCCTGACTCATTCATACTGAGCAAGTGTCAAACCACGTCCAAAAGATTATACACTTTTTAAAAGAAAGAAAACCACAACCAAAGTCAGTACCAGATGTTAAAATTCCACACTTGAGAATAAATAAACCCACCAGACATAGGCTTTTTTCATCCATTCTTTCTTTTTTTTAAATTGACCCTATGGAGTTAAGAGGGGAAAATTGTTAATGTGCAACAATACAGAGGAAACTCACTGAAAGATGGCTAAATAATAAACAAGTTAGAACAGTTAGTTCTTATCTGGAAACCTAAGAAATCATCTCAATTTGCACAAGAATTTGTGAAAGAAGAAATTAAGTGCCTCATATTATGCAGATTTTGCAATGAAACTTAATTTTTGTGAACTCTGATTTTAAATTCTGAAGTTTACTATTCAATGTGTTGTTTTCCAAACTTAACAGAAGAAGCACAAGGTTTTGTTTTGCTCCTCACAATAGAAGTATTCCCAAAAGCTGCCTCTCAGCTCTCCCTCTATCGTAGGACTCCTCCAGCAAACAGCTCACAAGAAGAAATCTCAGCTTAAATGCTGTGAGCTGCCCTCAAGAGAGCCACTCTCTCTGTTGGCTATAGAGGAAATCTAAGAAAACTACCCTTCAGACCTATTATCTTACTCTTTGCAATCACCTCCAACATTCCTTCAGACTCTGCAAATCCTACTAATTTCAATGTGAAACCTGATGAATAGGGAAGGCTCAAGAGAATGTCAGATACTAGCATTCCATGTTTTGAACCTAAGAGAAAATGCTTATCCAAGACACAAAAACAAGAGGTTCTCCTGCAAGCATGTCTGGCAATTACTGTGCCTCTTCACTCCCCATAGCCTAAGCTTGCAGATTTTTTTATGGCATAAATTGACTTAAATCTGACAACAAGGACCTTCTGCGGCATCTCCATAGAAGACAGAATAAAAAGAAAGTGCTGACAACTTCATATCATTTAGAAATAAAGACAAAACAAACCAAGAGCCTCCATTTCTCCAGAGTGAAATTGCAATCCCTTCTCCCCACTTTCAAAACATCAAACCAGCATCAAGGATCCTGCAAGACTAAATGGGGACTCCAGCAAACACTACCAATACACACTGCATTACAGTTTCTAAATACTCCTGCAGGTCCTGCGACTATGTAAGCACTGTCATGCACCAGACAAGGATTATTATTCCACTTACAGAAGGATGTGGTCTGGACGTACATACCCAAGTCTATGGTGCACTGCAATATGTTTGACTGAAGGCCATTTCTGTCTTACATCTCTGCAGATTCTCTTTATTTCAGTCTCTGCCATTGAAGTATATGCTTCATATTCTAAGTGAATCACTTTTTTCCCTTCAAAATTGTTTCTTGTGGTACCTAAATAAAAGTGATTTATCAACCAAATAAAGTGCATTTAAATAATAAATAAATAATAGATAAATAAATTCTGTGCATTTGCTAAATATATATTGTGTATTTATAATATATACTATATAAAAATATAATAATATATACTATATAAAAATATATAATGTATTAATACTGAGTAAAACCCAGGATCTCTTGCTATGGTCAAGGTCAGCACTGTGCAAATATAAACAATCTCCCCTAAATATGGCTGCAAAAAGAGATTATTTGAACAAGATAAATCTTTACTATAAAAGGAATAATTTAGTATACCCATTATACAAGTCCACAGTCCATAATGCTCAAGGCTAGGACATCTTCTGTGGTAACTGCTAAGGTGCTATTATTATTGCATTTGCCCATGCAATTTTTAAATCTTCAGTATTTAGAAGCCCAGTAGCACTAAGGTTTAAGGACAAAGGGGTTTCAGATGTGTGCCATGCACATTAAGCACACGATAGAGTATCAGCCTTACCTTCACCAGCTCATGGGTAAAACAGTACTTCACTTTCAACTAAGACAGTTGCGGGACCTCACATACAGGTGTGGGCATGTGTTTGCATAGCCACAGTATTCTATTCCCACCTTGAACAAGCTGTGTCCAAGAGGATAGAGAGAACACCTCCCAAGCAGTTCTGTACTTCAGAGCTGTTGCTCCATTCAGTCCTAGGATAGCCATACCAACATGAAAGCTTCTCACCCCTTAATCCCAGTGCAACTGTTTAATTGCTGCCATAGTCTTGCTCTAATAATTCAGAACATGTTCTAAACATCCTGGGTTCAGATCAGGAATTGATTTATTTGAGAAGCACAAGTCTGGGATGTGGACAATCTACATTCCATTCATTAGACCCTTAATACACCCAAAGATTAAACTTACCAATGAACACAGACACTGCCCCACAGTATGGTGAAACGACCAGCTCTGACACTTCATCTACAGAGAGCTTTGCAGACTTCAGCTTGATAAAATCTTTTGGCACATCTTCAGTTTCATCCATATCTCACTAAAAAGGTTGAAACCAAACAGACTCTGTAGTTGTTTCTGAAGATACTAGCATCAGCCAACTGCTTTTTATCTAATTTATGCAAACAACATGCACCATCTATTTCCCTGAGAGACCAGTCTACACATCAAATTCACTTCTCATCAGTCTCACAGAGAGAATATTAACTGCAAATATCGAGCAATGACCTGGTTTTTAATGTATACATGTTCCTTTCTGACAGGAAAGTCTGGTACAATGGGACAAAACTATAATTAGTCTGAGGCCATGGTTTAATAATACAATCAACCAGCATGGACCACTGTGTAGTGCAGTGATATTGCAGCCTCTCCTACTTTTCTTATCCTGAAATCAAACAGTTTAAAACTGAGATTTGTGATAAACACAGATTAGATTTCTAATCCTAAAGTTGAATATGCTCTCCAGGACATTCAGGACCTCACAGTATCTGTCTGTTTCAGTCACAACAGAGACGCTTTTAACTTTTCTGAGTAGAAACCAGTCATCAGATCACCTGAGAACAATGAGAAGTATTTTGAGCAGCAATGGAACAAGCTGCAGTAAATAAAAGGACTGGCACTTGAAAGCAGGCAAAGAAGTTAAGCTATTCTAAGCACACCTACTCCTTTAACAGCAAAAAATAAACAAAATTTTTAAGCAGCAATTATTTTGCTGTATTATCTTTTCTGTTAAAAAGCGGCAGAAGGTTGTTCATTATCATCTTATTTAGGCAAGCAAAGTATCTACTGGTAGCCAGAAACAACAAGGAAGGAGTAACAAGACCTAAAACTCAAATTCAAAACAATGCCTGACCTCTCTGGCAATTGTCTTCCATTTACTGAATACGTGTTAATCATTTACTGGTGCACTGGCTTATAGTTTCTGGTCAGCACAACTGTACTCTCCAGATGGAAACACACATTAGGCTCTCTCAAAACAGTACTGGGGTGGAGGGAGAGAATGTCAATCACATCTGTGGACCTAAACAAAAAAGGATTATTGGAACATCATACAGAATTCAGGAGATTATACTAGCGCAGGATATAGCAACTAAGCAAGATACCTACCCAACAGAATCTGGGCAGGTTCAGCCTCCACTAATTGGTGGGATGATGGCAACCTCGTCTCCAGGCTGAAGGACCAGGAGCTGATCTCCAAGAAGCACGTATTCCTGCCGAACAGCAAAAACCACTTGATCCTGGATGACGGCAAGCCTGAGGGGGAGCACAAATAGGTTTCTAAATAGAGTGTTTGCATTTAACCATGAGATTTCATTAAACAACCAACTGGTGCACAGTCTAGGGCAACTGAGGTAAAAACCACTTATGCGACTTTTCTTCCAAGACACTGTCAAAAGTAAAACAAACACCCATCTCCTACTCTTTGGTTTTCTTGTAGTGACTAAGGAGAAACAAACTCAGTATCATTTTCAAAAGTCAGGAATTCGATTTGTCATAGGTCTGTATCAGAATGAACCAACGTATATCAGACCCACTACAGCAGCTTATAATAAAGAAGTAACTCAAGAGGTAGCAACCATACAATTCGGGATTAGAAGTAAATATTGCCCTGATACAGTCTCGAAGGACTGGAGCAATTTTCTTACACACCAAGAAGCATTCTGGGATGCTGCTCGTGAGATCTCATAAAGATTCAGTGGTCAAAGAGTTGCTCTTGTTGTGTGTGCTCAGAGTTCATGAAGCTTTGGGTCTTTTGCACTTACAAGTCTGAAATCTGCTACTGGTAAGGAGTGGCCACAGAAATAAGAGGGCAGATGTGATGTGTCTTCTGGCAGACCTTCTAAATATTTTTTGATTTCACATCTTTGAGATGTTGCTGTGAGAGTCCACAGCTCTGGTTATCATGAGACAGGGATTCACTTTCATGGCTAAGTGCAATTACACAGCAAGCATGAGGGCAATGGCAGTAAGACACCAAGAAAAAGAATGCCAGCATTTTAAGTTATATGGTGCAGGAATGATAACTGTTATTGCTTGGACTACAAAATCTGGCACAGCCAGCAGAGCTGTACTGCATAGAAACAAGTAGGCACACCAAAAGAGTACAAGTAAAAATCATCTTATTTCCTACCAGCCAGATAGACCAAAGTAGGCAAGGCACAGACTAAGCAAAACACAGTAGCTCTGACTCAGAGGGCAAACTGAAGGAAGAGACTGCATGAAAGTCACTGAAGAACTGGGCATACCCATGAAATTGAAGTGCCCATCAGAAGGATGGGTTCTAATTAATGTCACTTGTAAGCAAATTCATTGGGGAAAATGGGTGGAACAGAAGAGCACTGTCAAGTATGCTAGAGCTGCAGTTTGAATATCCGTTAGTAATGTGAATAGAAGTCTGTGGTCAATGCCCTAAAATTATATTTTTTCCATAAAAGCAAGGAACAGAAGTGTTTTTCAAGAAGGCTGCTGTGAAGTAACTGCAAATGCAAGATGTACTGCCCCAAGTCATCACTCATAAAAGGACAAAGTTGACAAACTATGGAAAACCAACCAACGGTGCTGCCGATACCTCTGACACAGATGAACAGGCTGCAAAGTAAAATACGCACATGCTCTGCACTGCCTCCTCCCCCAAAACACATTTAACCTCAGTTTTCTGTGAGGAAAAGGCCCCTGGTCTAGCATTTTGTTAGAGCTTCTCACCTGGAAACAAATATCTTTGCTAAATAGTTCATTGTTTTCACAGCCTTTGAGAGTAATTGACTAAAGAAGGGTTGTGCCTTGACACCTAATTCCAGAGTTACTGAAATTCCAGTGCATTCAGCACTAAATCCTGAGGACCTCAACCTGTTAAACCTTACTTTTTTTTTACCCCTTCTACCCTTTCAAAATGGTGTTGCATCTTTGTCTATCAAACTCATTCTTGTCAGAACTGAGCACCTTTCCTCAGCCCTAACATGAGGCGACTTTTCTGCTGACACCTCTAAGGAGCACCAGTGTTGCAGAAACTCCTACAGCACAAACACAGAGCTCTCTCAGGACCAGACTCCCTGTGAAATGCAACCAACAGCAGTATCTTTCAAAACAGAGAAGGCTGAAAGTGGCTGAATCTACTTCCTGTGTCAAGCAGGGCTGAGTGGCTAGAAGCCTGTGCAGGCTTCAGTTCCCTTCCCGATCTGTCTTCCAGAGTGTGCCATAAGATCAGATCAATGGGAAACTGTACAGTTAAAGATAATTACAGAATCAGTTAGGTTGGAAAAGACCTCTGAGATCATCAAGTCCAACCTTTGACCGAACACCACCATGTCAATTACACCATGGCACTGAGTACCATGTCCAGTCTTTCCTTAAACACATCCAGGGATGGCGGCCCACTCCAATATCTAATCGCCCCATTTGTGAATAATTTCTTCCTAATGTCCAACCTAAGTGAATGAAAACACCTGCACACTACCATTTATTTCTTATTTATTGTCCTGGCTGCGCTTGATCCCTCCTTGAGACATCTCACCTTCTCCACAGGGTTAATAACATAATTCAGTTTTCAGCCTACCGCACCACAGCTCTTCTGGACAATGGGCCACGTGTACCACTCAGGCTCAACTTCTGGGTACATCTACTTTTGGGACCTGGGCTTTCCTTGTGTATACATAAAGCTACAACCTTTCCGACTGTGCAAAACACAAAAAGCTTGGTGCAGGTTATCGACATCAGTGGTTTTGTGCTGTCGAAGTACTGCTACACATTTCAGCTAGACTCTAAACGCCGAATTTGTATTTACCAAAAAAAAAGAAAATAAAAGATAGCCAACCACGGGTTTTGTGCACCTCATTGGTAACTTGCTGGGTACCTGGGGTGGGCTTTGACGATCTCCTCCCAGAGTTGCAGAGAGGTGATCTGCCGTGGCACCGAGAGGGTCTCGCTGCGCAGCCCCGCCAGCTCCGCGCTCCGGGCGAAATACAGCACCGAGACCTGCTCGGGGAACAGACAGGGCTCCGAGCGCGAGGCCGCCCCCAAGAAAAACCACCAACACACGACCGGAACCAGAGCGCCGAGAAACGCTTTCCCAGGCTCTTCTCGGTGCCGACCTCCTGCCCCGGCCGCCCGCGGAACGGGGACAGGCGAGGGGGAAGGGAATGCGCGGGGCGGCGAGTGCCCGCGGACCCGGGCCCCGCTCCTCCGCCCAGGCCTCGCCCAACTGGCGCCGCTGCCCCCCGGGCCGAGGGGCCGCGGGAGCCCCGCCGCCCTTCCCGGCTCCTGCCAGGCCGCCGCTTCCCGGGGGCTCCAACAAGTTGCACCTACCTGGCAGCGCATGGAGCCGCCGTCTCGGGCCCAGCCGCCCTCCGCTGCGAGCTTTCGGCGGCGCCTGCGCCGGGCCCGGCCCGCCCCCTGCGGCCTGTCCGCGAGTGCCAAGGCCCAGCTCCTTTCAGCCAGCCTTGTCTCTTCTCGGCCCAGCTTCGTGGTCGGGTCCTGGCCTGCGCGGGAGGCTGGCGGAGATGGGAGACGGGGGGTGGTGAGAGGTCGCGGCTTTGCCCCCGGATTCAGGTTGCGGTTTTGGGGACAGCACTTTACGAGCCGGATTTTCGGGTGGACTCGGACCCCCCGCGCGCATCGGGATTCCGATTTGATTGCAAATATTGCGCGTCCACGGCCTTGCACGTGTTAAACACCCACTAAACGCACATGACAGGTGTTTAGCGCGTGTGAAAGCCATGGATCCGTCATAGTGCTGGCACGAGATTTCAGTGTTAGGGCCTGTTCCAGTGTGGCGATTCCCTGGGCGTCCCGGGGCACAGCTGCACCTCTGCCTTCAGTGACAGCGTGGTGCTGATAACACCAAGGTCGCAGATTCGATTCCCATAGGTGCCATTGTCTTAAGAGTAGGACTCAAGGTTCCTTGTGGGTCCTTTTCATCTCCGAATATTTTGTGGTTCTGTGGAAGGACAGATGCTGGATGAATATTGGCTCTCACCCGTAAGGGACAGTGGCATGCTGCCGAGAGACACACAGCAGTTGGTCCACCAGTAGGTGGCCAGGGTTGTTTCTCTAATGTTTGTCTGATGACACCTCTAACCTCACAAGATAATGGAGGAGCTCATCCAGTCAGGGGGAATTCTGCAGTCGTTATCAGTGACACAGGGTTTGTGGTTGGTAATTGTTATTTGGGCTGGTGGTCACAGAATCATAGAATAGTTAAGGTTTGAAAAGACCTCTAAGATTACATAGAGTCCAGCAGTTAACTCATCACCACTCTGTTCACCACTGGTCCGTATTCCTGGGTGCCACATTCGCACGTTTTCTGAACCCTTGCAGGGACGATGATTCTATCACTTCACTGAACAGACTGTTCCAATGCCTGACCACTCTTTTAGTGAAGAAATTTTTCCTTATGTCTAATCTAAATCTCCTGTGGCACAATTTGGGGCCATTTCCTCTTGTCCTGTTGCTTGTTAGCTGGGAGAACAGGCTAATCCCCACCTGGCTGGCTACAACCTCCTTTCAGGTAGTTGTAGAGAACAATAAGATCACCCCTGAGCCTCCTTTTCTCCAGGCTTAATACCCCTAGCTCCCTCAACTGCTCCCTATATGGCTTGTGCTCCTGTCCGTTCACCAGCTTCATTGTCCTTCTCTGGACATGACCGTCCATCCTTGCTGGATGCAACACAGTACAAAAAAAAAAGCCCTCAAATAACTACGGAAGATGGCTGAGAAAGGAAACAGATCTTTCTGTGTAATAATTCTTGCCTCTGAGGTACAAACACAGTGAAAGTAAAAGTGATAACGTTTTCCAAAAAATGTGTGATAGAAATACAGTTGTTTCTGTGGAGCATGTATATTGTACCAGTTCATACGTTGTGTCTTAATTCTCTGCTGTGCTGAACAAATAAGTTACTTTTTAAAACTGTATTCTTTTATGAATTATTAACTACTGTTACAAATTGAACTTTCCTGAAGACAGCATGTATCAAGTGAATAAAATAATTGCTTTCTTTTTTCTCTGAGCTGTGTAATTTTGGATCTATATATCTTAAATGAAATAGATCACTTTGACATGGTATGTATGACCCAGCCAGTAGCTAGCAAATGGCTGGCACATTTTTCCCATGGAAAAGATGTACTACAGGAGTCTGCAGTGAAGTGGAGGAATGCTGGGCTCAGCTGCAGAAAATTAGCCTGTCAGCCCAGAAAACAGCGAGCTTTGAAGTATTTATCTGTACATTTAGGCTTGAGTTTAGAGTTAGGACAACTATAGAATAAGGAGAGAAGAGTTAATTTATGAATTTTCTCTCTTTGAGCCCCACCAAATGTCTCAACTAAGCCAATTCTTGAGTATTTTTCAAAAGATGGATCAGACTTCAGCCCTGCGTTGTATGACTTAGTTAAAGGCAGAACTTGTGCCTAGAAAGCACAGGAATAGAGTAGTGTTTGTGACTCTTATAATCTATTAACTACGTTTTAAAACAGATAAGAAGTATTTAAAAGTTCTTAAGCAAAAACAGGAATTAAGCTGAGGTGTAATAAAAAATGTCTAAAACAAAGTTTTCCCTAAATACCTCTTTATTCTGGAGGTCTTGTGTTCCAGGAACATCAGCTCAGCAAGAGGTGGGACAACTACACTTCTTGATTTGTATGAATGAGTTTTATTATTATTATTGAGTCTATTATTTTGAATTAAATCTTGTCCTAAACAATGGGGCCTTTGCTGTAGCTGTAAGGTGTGTATGTATCCTTCCATGTCAATATGTTTATTAGCCTCTCAGAGTGTATTCCTTTCAGATGTCTTTAATTTCTAAAGCTGTGATGAAGTTGTCCAAAACAGTGTCCTATTCCACTTTCCAACTTTTCTTTGTTATAATAATGTTTAATACTGAAAAAGTGCAAATCTTACTATATGTGTGGAGTTCCCTTACACTACCCAAACTGGCAGTTGCTTAAGAAAAGTTCAGTTCTAGTAATACTAGATAATGGTAAGGAGCTGTTATTCCTATTAATTTCTTTCTTACTTACCAGCAGCAGACTTTGAACTTTGAGGCGTAGTTGGAGTATACCCACACACTAAGCTTACAGTCTAAGGCACTGATTCTGCCTGTGATGGTGAATGGAGAGAACCACAGCAAAGTCAGCAAAACTGAAGGGGGTGCAGTAGTCTGCTAGTCCCAAACTACTTTTGTAATGACTTATTACAAGAATTGATATAAAATATGACTGGATGCACTGAAAAAAACAAAGAGGAATGAACTGAAGACATGTTGTTAATCTTTAATTCTTTTTACCAATGATTTACCTAATGTCACCGTAGGAAAAAAAAGTCTCTCCTGCACAAGATTGTGATTGTCTAATTTCTAGCAGATTTTCTGTTTCCTTTTGTTTTCATTTTAGATCTTTTCTCAGGACTGTTTGGTATAAATCATGAGTTACTGCTCTGAAGTTCAGATTTATACTTTGAAAACCTTCAGAGAATGTTTTTTACTCCAGTTTTGCTGATGTAAAGAATTTAGGTCATGTTGATGCTAACCTGAGTGCATCTTGTTATACGTATGAGGTGTAGATATTGATGCATAATGCTGGATTTAGAAAAACAGAGACAATTTCTTAATTTCAAGCTTCCTGAAATACCCAGGAAAAATAAAAATTATCATTCATGACCTGGAGTAAGCCTTTATTACCTGTTGCACCCTTCATTTGTCTTGGGCAACCAGCCAAATCTGAAATCAGTTTAGCAGGAACCTCCAGCTACTGACCTCATTTGGAAAAAAGAAAAACACCACAAAACAAAAACCCAAACAAAACCCAAAACCCAGAACTGTTTGGAATAATCTACAAGGATCCAAGATTCAGGCAGGTATATGAAATAGCTCAGTCAATATGAATTCGAGTCATTCCACTGAATTCAGGTCTGAATTTGGCCTCGTCAACACTGGTAATAATCTGGAAGATATCTCCTTCCTATTTTGGGAGGAAGGAGGACTGTTCCTTGAGTTTCCATAGTGGAGCAATGGAGAGAAAAACGTGAAAATATGAATCTGTCTGAGGCACTATGACCTCTAGGATTCCTGTGTGTGAGGTATATGTGGCCATTTGACCAATGTATTTAACATTCCCCTTGGCACTCTTTGAAATTGTCTATTATAAAACAGATGGTGCAGTAGTTACTTTTTGAAGGGCTAGAAGAGCATGACTGCATCTGGAATTAATCTTTAGCTCCCTAAACCAATAGATCACCCAGTTTTAAGAGGGCCTTCTAATATAATTGCATTGCACAAGTACAGAGAAAGAATACACAGCTTTAAGGCAGAGTATAAGCAGTCCGGAACTATAATTCATAGACACACAACTCTTTCTGTTCAACTGTCTCATTTTTGGGCAAGTCTTTTCTACAAGAATTTCTTTTTATTTTCATTGAGCAACAGCAGTAAGTTAAATATGTAACTTCTTAAATGAGATTTTTAAAAATCCATACATTTCGGGGTTTCTATAAAGTGTTTTTCTTTTCTGTTGACAACTACAGTATTCCTAAAGAGATGACCTCTTCCATTTTCATGCTGTCCTTTTCCCAATAGGATAACTAAATGTTGTATTAAACTAGCATGCACACTAGCATCATTCAAATAAAGTTAGTGATGGAGTTTTGGGTGATTATTAAGTATTATAACACATGCTCTGAAGAATGATGGGAAAAGGGCACTAGGACATTCAGTATTGATGCTAAGGTAAAAACTATCTGCAAACTTTGATGCAAAGGGAAAGTGCAAGTTTTAACCCACAGAACCTCATATTTGAAAGTGCCTTGTGCTAAACTGCCTGGCTAATATTTGATCTGGATTATCTAAATATTTAAAATATCGAATGTGTTACCTGTCATGGAAAAAAGATTGTATTTTCAAAAATGCATTACTTCCTGCAAAGGTCCTGAATTTGTGTAACCAAGTGATTGTAAGGGCAAGGAATTTTGAATGCTATCAAATCTACAGGTCAGGTATCTGGTATTAAGTTTAGAAAGATAAAATGTCTCTCATCTGTAGTATTTCAATTGGCTTGTATGCTTTTCTGTCTTCTTTTGTAAGCCACCTAGAACAGGGAGACATGAAACGCTCGTGTTAGTTTATATTCCCAGATTAAATTGTTGGCACTCTAATTATCATACTCTGTAAGTATGATAAACACTGCACAAAGTAAGAAGCATTTCACAATATTGATTTGCTGAAGCCAATGGAATTCTTGAAGAATTACTCAGATCTCTGGGTGGCTGATGAAAATGAAGTCAACCTCTACCCACGAGTTCAGAACTTGTCATACCAGATTACAGATTGCAGTTACCTTGCCTTGCAGTTCTTTGCAGTCATTGTATAATAATGGCCAGTCTTCACGAACGAAGATCTGGGGAAAGGT